AAGGTTTGGCGAGTAAACATTACAGATTGCGTAATTCAAAGTTGGCCGAGTGGAGATCTGCGTCTGGTCTCCGACAAAAAAAATATAAAAAAAAAATAAACCAAGGGTAGAACATGAACCGCGCTCGGCCCATGGCCGCGCGGTTAATGAACCTGTTTGTCGAATGTCAAAGTTTACAATTTAAAAGTAATGCACAGAGAATTATCTGCACGTCACAAAATGGAATTGCATTCCTTTTTCCTTCGGCATTTCCGTGTTCTCACTCTTTCCCAGTCTCCGCGCAAAGGTATTGTTGGAGCGGAGAAAGGCATGATCTCACCTACAATCCACCTCTCCCTCCCCCTATTTCAATGATGGGAAAAATGGCGCGCTTCGGGTTTAGCGTCAGTTCATCATTGATTCGGGGGAAGGGATGGTTTTATTTCTTATTTTACTCTGTTCAAGATTGTAGCTGCTGTCTATGTTGCTGTCTAAATGAAGTTTGCCGAAGTGCTTTAACGATTAATCGTACCTCAAAGCTTGGACGGGTTGGCATAAACTTGAACTCGTTACGTTGTACGAAGTTAGATACTGGAAAGATTTCAACTCGCTAAACAGCAAAGTCAGTGCCTAGGCTTCACAAATTACAAAATTGGATCTAGACACTAACGGAGATTACTAAGCAGTCATGACGATATTTGACTTGGATAAGATGTGGATTTAGGATTTAGAGAGACGGGTTTTTTTTTCCTGCTCGATTCTAAATACCAACGGCTACAAAGGTAACTGAATGAAACACAAGGAATCATCTAAAAACTCGGACGAAAGCTCGATATAAAAGTGTGTTCTTCAAATTCCGACAAACTCTCAAAATTGCTACTAAACATAGGTCAATTGAACTACGTTTACAGCAATCTGCATTGAAGAAACTAGTGAAACAATCTCAGATAGTGCAGAATGCAATTTACGGCTCTGATACAGTAGTCATACAGGTCCTCACCCTTGCCGTTTGCTTCCTTGGTAGTCAACTAGACCTTTTCCCCTTTGCAGAATATGAGCGGACAAAAACTTGATAAGACATAATCTTAGCAGCGTGCATGTTTCATGTTTGTATTTTCTTTCAAGGCCAAAAAATGAATTGTACTGTGGTGTTTTATGTTGCGTTTCGATCATTTTAAATTCAATAATACGCAGAAGTGGCAAACGTGACAATTTTACTTTTCACGCCTTCGTTTGTAACTTGATACTTTTGTTTTCCTTGCCTAGGTATGCAATATGATACCCTTGTTTCCTCGAAAATATAAGAAATATGCGCATTTTTTTACTCACTGCCAGAGATAAATGGAATAAAGTTAAAAAGCTGATGAAAAATCGAATAGGAACGATTTTGTTTTATTCAAAACACAAATTTTCATTTCACCGATAAACAAGAACTAATCTAATTATCAAATAGTCACGTCGAATCAGGGAATAGTACGTTCTTATTCTGTTGCTACCTTTGGTGTTAACAATAAAACCACCTCAACCTAATACACAATGCTATCGCTTAATACAACTGAGGAGCGTTTCAACGAGAAAAACTGAAGGCAGAGATCGCTACTTGACCGAAATTATATCCTACATCGGTGAGCGAGTCACCTCGAAGACTGATGAAATCAACTAGCGGTTTCAGTAAAGTGTCTTTACTAGTTTTATATGTACATTACGCAGGAAAATTTCGGCTGAATATGAACTTTTTGTTTTCTCTCATAGAAGGGAAAATGAGGAAGCTGCTGAGCAGAAGCGATATGTTTTCATTCTTTCTTTGAACCCTGGCAAACGCACAATAGTCCTAAAACAGCAGACGAAATTTCTTGAATCGAGCTAGGGGTGATTCCAGAAGATAAGCAGGCACAGTAGCGTTCTTTGAAGAACATATGCGTCTTACATGTTGTGGTCTACCATAAGGAAAAACACTCAACATCCGTGTGTAATCCCGTATAAAATGTATTTTTCACTCAACAGATAGTCGATACGGACGATAACTAATCTGCGCATGCGTTTCGAGCAAATTGCTTTTGTTCTTAAGGGAGTAGCACCACAAGGACAGCAAGAGATTTGCGAAAACATATATAGTTTTGTCAGACTGTCAAACATGCAACGCAGGAATGACACGTTTTGCGTAGTGCACACGGGTACCTACTCCACCCAGCCCCCCTTCCCGCAAGAATAATTGGTTAATTGAAATTAATTAATTAAACAAACATTAAAGTTTACACCTCATTGTGTTATCGCGTGATTGCCTTAGCGAACAGCAGCCCCCTAAACCATCCCAATAGTGCACTCTGCACTAAAAACGGCCATGCTGCTCAATTCTCGCAAACACTCAATGTCATACAAATTATTAACTATAAGACAAATTATAATTTAACCTAAAAATAATAATAATATCATTATCATTTTTCTATTATTTATATATAGAATTGACTCACCTCGAACTCAAAGCCCAGTAGATCGATAGGTATGGTGTATTTCCTGGCATAGTTCTGTTTAGCACCAGTTAAGAAAGCCTGGAAAAGGTAAGAAGTATTTACTGTTAATATATCAACGCCTCGTTCATCAGGATAACGCAAGAAAGCAGACACTCCACCTACCTGCGTAAAGAAGAACCCTGAAATCCAGAACACCACTGGCTTTCCCCTGTCGAACCAATCCTAAACAAGGAAAGTAATTGAAAACAGAAACTTCATAAACATTTGTTCTTGAAGTGTGGTAAAGAAATATAGTTATATCATTTCTAATGTTTGCTTTTGTTTTGAGGACATTTGATTGTGAGGAACCTTACCTGCAAAAACTTGAGTCTGGCCAGAAAGTCATTGATGTAGCTACCAAGAGGTTTGAGAGAAGGATATGATCTCTTCATCCACATCTCGGGCACCTGCAGCCAACCATGCACACAAAAATATCATTAACAAGCATTCCACGAGCGCGCGTTGGATATGAGACGGTGGATTGGTTTGGATTATCTCACATCCAACAAGCCACAGAGGAATAACCGATTTATTAAAAACAACCACGAAATAGACGTAGAACTTACTAATTTTATCAAGTGAATAAAACACCAGAGGCGGAGGGCGATTTAACAAACCGTTTTTGGTGGGCATGGTATAATTAACAATTATTCCACGAGCGCGTGTTGGATTTGAGTTGGCTATAATCACCTCATATCCAACTAGCGCTAGTGAAATAATTGTTTTCGTAAGGGCCCATTAGCGTTGCTAAGGAGGTGAATTTTCACTTCCGGTTACTTACGTCAGCCTGAGCGCGGAAAATAAAAACAAGTCAATAACTTCCAAATTCGCTTACATTTTAGATGTTTTTCTTTGTGTTTCACAAAATGCAAAGTAAAAAAAAAGCAAGCAAAGACAAAATAAGAGAAAGACAGAAAAACAAGAGCAATAGAAAGAGAAAAACTAACTCCGTGTGGCTTTGTTTGATCTTGCCGAAGTGCACTGGTAGTGTAAATTGCGCACGCGCTGATAGGGTAACTTCCAATATATATCGAGTGCACTTCCGGTTTCTTCAAATGCTAAAGGAAACGTGGTTTTTCATTAACTCCAGCCTTTTTTGACGGATTTCGATTAAAACCAACGTTGAAAACATAGCTATGCATTCCTTTTTCGAAATCATGCTTTTTTCAGAAAATTACTAATTTTTTAATATTTTGAAATTCTCTCAAAATCTGACCTTTTAGAAATGAAACAAAATCTATGCATAGCGTAATGAGGATTTAAACTAAAATATTAAATGAATGAAAAAAATCCCGATAAAGTAATTTGCCTGGGAGCCTTTGCGGTTTTTCAGTATTAGTCACATGACAGTGGGCGTGGCCTGATGACGTACGCTTACCATATTTGCACAGCATGGTATAATGGCTCATAACCCACGATGGCAAAGCCAATGAAAACTCTCGAACTGCATTATCCAATGATCCAGTTTTTAATAATAGCTGTTATACTACTAAAAAAAGCTCACGCCACTTTCCTATCCAATCAGAGGTAAAGTAAAAGGCAATCGCGGCTCGCTCGCACGCGTTTTAGTGGGCTTCGCATCAGCTACACGTATCTGCTAGAATTTCTGATTGGTTTAATGGATTGTCTGCGTCCTTTGTGATTGGCCAGAGTGATTACTTTGGTTCTGGTTTTATTAAAGCTGCCCTATACACAAGAGAAGACAAATTATGACTTACTTTTCCCACCAGCAAGCTGCCGGCCAACGCCTCCAGGTCAGAGGACATGACCACCAAACCTTTGATAGCTTTCTGGAGATTCTGTAAACTTGTTCTGATTATTGACATCAACCTGAGAAAGAAACCAACAAAACAAAATGTATGAACGTAATGACATGATTTGGTCCAGGCTCTTGGCTAACTCAAACGAGTGAACTTACTTGTTAAATCTCTCCATCTCTTGCACCAGCACAGTGTTCATACTCTCCTCATATTTCACAGGGTATTTCTGCAGAGCCACTTCCAAGTCATAGTTCTTTGGAAGCTAGAATTGAAAAAAAGACAGTTTTTTACTCTCCAGGGTGAGCATATAATTTTGAATAAAAACAAGCAAAACTCTTTCCAGTCCGACCGACGGACGAACTAATGAAGAATTCAGCATAGCCTGTTAGCAGCGCTAAGTTGTTATACTTTGACAACAAGTCCGATCTCAAATTGTTAGTTTTTTCTTTATTCTTGACAAATTTTTTTGAGTAGTTACTTAATGTGTCCTCACCGCACTGTTTGTAGTACTTACTTTAGACAAGATGTCCTTAGCAATCTCCAACAGAGTGTCATCTGACTTCTTTCCAGCCCCTCCTCCGCCACTTTGAGACTGTGTCAGTAGTACGGAGTCAAATAACTACCAAAATAAAAGCAAGCATCGTAAGAGCTCAAATGCTGGCTGTTAAGTTCGTATAAAAGGAGATTAGAGGTGAATTTCAACATCTGACACAATCACGCATAAGGCCATTACACCCTTACAATTCATTTGACTCAAGAACTGATATGGCTATATTGGCATCGAGTCCAATACTCTGCTTTACTCTGGTGACAATAAACCAAGCGTAAGAAGGAACAATTCGAACTTATACCTATTACTGAACACAAGTGCAAACCTGTTTAGTTTCCTGGAGCTCTTTGGAAATATCCACATTATCATGCATGCCAAACACCTCGGGCGTCTGAGACAAGGGAAGCTCCTGTAAGGCAAAAACCCAGTTTAGGAAGTGGAGAGCTGGTGCACAAACCACTCAGGTCCGTCAATTTACCTTGATAAATTCCACGTATTGATCGTATTCACCCTTTGGAGGAGCGTAGTAAGTACCACTCTGTGAGAACTTGTACTTAGGATCTTGGACGATGTCTGGAGTGTAGAAGTCTGCCAAGATACTCATTAGACAGCGTCTGAAGTCAAAAACAAGTACAAAAATCAAAAGGGTTGAAACCTTAAAAATAAACCGTTATTTAAATAACAAATGAAAAATGTTTGATTCTACTTTGTTCTGTTCTAAAGTACGCAAGAAGTGACGAGACAAAAGCGGGAATAGAATGAAACACGCAGACATGTAAGTAAGTAACTTTATTTACGTGTCAACACATCTAGCGCGATAGGCGCTAACTGGGGACAAGATAAGATAAGATAAGATAAGATAAGAACTTTATTAGTGTGAGCGGAAGTCATCTTCAGAGTCACTTCTTGACTCTAAAGATGACTTCTGCTCGGGTTGTCGAAACGTCAGTCACCAACAACAGTTCTTTTCAGAACGCCCGTCACCCGGACGATCACACTATACGAACTACTGATACTCCTGGGTTCAAACCATTCACTCCATGAGAAAACAGTTCAATGGTTTTCTATTTCAATGCATGCATGTGGTTCTGTTTCTGTAGTTAGGGTGCTCCGCTTGGCGGCCCTTCAGGCCAACGGAGCCCGCTGTAATGCGTCTAGCGACTTCGACACACTAATAAAGTTCTTATCTTATCTTGTCCCCAGTTAGCGCCTATCGCGCTAGATGTGTTGACACGTAAATAAAGTTACTTACTTACATGTCTGCGTGTTTCATTCTATTATTTTCGTGCTCTCGTTACTTCCTTAAATGCTTTATAACAGAACATAACATACGGAATACTTGTTATCTGTTTTATATCAAAGTTCCACATTGAGGAGAAACTGGCTTTAACCAAGTTTTATTTTTAGGTTGCGCGCACAGAATGGCGTCACGGATGGTACGTGACTGCGTCAACAAAGATCAAAAGCTACACACAAACCAAAAACAGCTGAGAGTATTTTTTGCATGGTACTCTTAAGGAGGGTGCCTACTAAATACAAAGGTTTTTGCGCCAGGTTAGGACCTTGCGGAAAAAGTAGATCTTTGCAAGGTCTATCGGAATCCACAAAGAAAAAAGAGAGTAGCCAAGCATTTTTCTGAGGTAATTAGCCTCTCAACAAAAATGCTGACATCAGCATTTTTCTGAAAAAAGAAGGAGAGGATATTTGCCTTTACATGCAGAAAAGCAAACACATTTATAAACATCTGAAAACTACATGGTAAATGGTAACATAAAAACCAGTTTTGGTATGTTTTTAATAACAAAATCGCTGCAACAGCACTTTTAGCGTCTCTGACAGCCTTCCTCTGTTTCAGCTTAAATACAGTCTAAATATCTTTTGCCCACAACCAGAAACTAATCACGTGCTGAATAGGCTTGCCACCCACTTGATAACATAAAATACAGGGGTTACCACGCGTTTTTTAAAGTTATTGATCCTTTTTTAAACTTTTTACGGTGCCCGTTACATTTTTTCCTGTCACCTACCCAGTAAATAAAACATTCGCGTATCTCGCACTTGTTTTGCGCGCACACTACGCCATCTGCAGGTACATGTTTACAGTTGGATTTCAGTATAATTTTCGACAGATAACAGCTAGTTTTTCAGCTGGAAGACGTTAACAGTTAGTGGTTAGCGATATGCTGCTGTTCTGGTGTTCCTGGTTTAAGTACAGGTTCATTAAACTTGGTTTGGTCACAGTAGGAAAATTTTGCTTTCAATTTAGTCGTGTACTTGGTAGCGTAGTTAATTGCGTCATGTCAACCATGCTTAAACCATGCCTTGCGTAATGCGCAGAACGTGTGCGCACTAACAAAAGTAGGCACCGTCCTTACAGCACTCTGTTATAACCAATGAAGGTTTCTTGTGACACTGGCACTTTAGTATAAACTGAGAGATGTTACTAAAACCGCCACACGACTGTTTTTTATGTGGCACAACAAGTACAAACTGGTTTCGTCCGGATATGGATACGTTTAGCCTAAATTGTCTCAGAGATTTTGTGATCTTAGTTAAATCCCATGTCAAATTCGAAATCTCGACTCTCGTCAACAATACAGAGCAAGTAAACTATTGGTTGTTGTTGTGCAAATACGTTTTCATTGACCTAAATCAGTCACGCGGTTCTTCCCTTGCATGAAAAACACGTTGAAAGTAACGAAAACAGAAGCATTTCCGAGTTGCTTTTTGCCTCTTTTTGAAAACGAGTCCTGGTGCAGAACCTTTCATACGGAAATGAGTTTGATTTGCAAGCTGATAAACGTGCAAGAAAGTTCATTTCCATAACAATGGCTGTGCAGCAAGATTCGGTTTTAAACAGAGATAAGGCCAACACGGAAATAGCTTACTGCGATATACCTCGTGAGTATAAGAAGAAAAACTAAGCTTCCATAAGTAGGAAGAGATGTAAGACAAACCTGTCATTGTCATCAGTAACTCTGCCTCCATAGTTACATTCCCCTGTAAGGTACGTCACAGCATCAAACGGAATCTCCTCGTACTCGTTGATGAACATCTACGATGTGTAGTTCGACAATAAAACAATAAGTGAAACTCGAACGTTTTCCGCTTCAGTAAGACTGTTCTTACTAACCTGTAGCTGCCTGACGCTGATTCTTAAGTCGGATTCGTTAAAGCCGTACGGTATATTCCAACCCAGTGGGCCAAACTTTCGTCGCTCTTGTACCAGGGCGTGGAAAAAACACAGGCCAAACAACAGCTTCTCCCAAATCTGCAAACAGAATATCATGTAACAGCAATACAATGAACCCATGAAATACTAACTATCCCTTATCTTCTGTTCTAATGAGAACAATTATAAACACATACCAGAGATTTGAATTGAGGATAAAAAATGTTACATGCATGTTCCTACTACTGTCAATTCTTATATGATTAATTTTTCATTTCATAAATGTGGACTTTTGCATCTTAGAAAGGTATGGCATACGGCCTGCACTGCCAACTTGCCGTCATATCTTATATTAGGAAACAGTCCTAAGAAAATACGGGCGCTGATTGGTTAAAAATCGTGTTTCTATTAAGCAATTAGATTACGAGCTCGAGATTTCCACCGCGCGACGCGATAGTTGACGAGGGCGCAGCCCGAGCTCGAGTCAACTATCACGCATAGAA